ACTAACTTACGTGTGGTACTAACTTGCATGTGGTATCTCTCTCTCCACTAGAATGTAAGTTCCAAGAGAGCAGGATGTTAAAAACATCCTTTGCCTTGTTCACTGCTTTATCACCAGTGCCTAGAACAGTACCTAGTATTTAGTAGGTGCTCATTAAATAGTTGATAAATAAAATTGTCTTCCAGGCAATATAGTATAAAAGCAGAGAGGAGTAAAGCATCCTAGAACTACAAATAGCTCAGCACAGTTGGAGCCCAAGATGTGCAATAGTGAGTGGGAGGAAATAAAGCTGGAGTGTGAGACAGATGGCGGGTCATAGAGGAATCTGTAGGACTTCATTCTGTAGGCAGGGATTTCAGGCAGAGGAGTGTTGATATTCTATTTGTATTGGGTTGGCCAAAAAGTCCGTATGGTTTTTTACATAAAATAAAAGACACATTTTTCATTTTCACCAATAACTTTATTGATTTGGATATTTTGAGTATGTTGGCTATCTCTTGGGTAGTATAACATAGATTTTTCTCAATTAATGTCTTGATTTGATCGCTATCAATTCAACTGGTCTACATGACTATGGAGCATTGTCCAGCAAGAAAGTTCCAGCACAAATCTTCGCAAATCACTTTTTACATGTTGGGTCAGTCGCAGCACCTTCTCCATATACTACACAAATTTTTTTTTTAGAATTCCAGTTGCATTTTTACCTTTATTGAAATAATAAAGCATAATATGCCAAAAATGTATATTTTCTTCCATCTTCAGTATTAAAATAGCTACACAAAAATTCACAATGCAATCTAACAAAATTGTTTTGAGCGAAGTTAAAGACAAGTGCTACTAGAGCCATCTTATGGAAGAAACCGAACGAACTTTATGGCCAACCCAATATTTTACAAAAATACTGTAGCAGCCCCTATGCCAGGTGAATTAGAGGGGTGAATTTGTGAGCTGGGACACAAATGGGGAAGCTATTAAAGTAGTCTAGGTGCAAGGTGGTGCAGACCTTATCCAGACCAGGAGCAGTGAGGACAAGTCAGCTCTAGAAAGTTCTTTGGAGGTAGAATGTATAAGAATTGGTATGCTGGTAGATGTAACAGATAAGGAGAAATTCTGGCTTATGTGATTGGGTAGATCAGAAATATTGTAGGCAAAGTAGACTTTAGAGAGATGGCATGTTGATTATCTATTGCTGTGTAACAAATTGCCCCTAAATTTAGCAGATTAAACAAACAAATGATTTTCTCATAGTTCCTGACTGCCTCTGGCCCCAAGCCTCTCACAAGGCTGCAATGGACTTGTTGGCTCTCAATAAGTCCTCTCAAGGCTTTACTGGGGCTGGACCTGTTCTAAGGCCACTTGCACGGCCATTGGCGGTCCCTGGTCCTCCAGCTGTTGTCCCACCTGGGCCTCTCTGTTGGGCAGCTCACAACATGGAGGCTGGCTTTCCTCAGAGTGAGCGAGCAAGAGAGTTAAGAGAATGCATGGCAAGGCGGAAGTCACTATCTTTTTATAACTTCATATTGGAAGTGACATCCCCTCATGTCGGCCATAGACCATTAGAAAGAAGTCACCAGGTTCAGTCTACGCTCAAGGAGTGAAGGTTACATGAGGGCATGAATGCAGGAGGAAGGGGTCATTGATGCTGCCTTAGAGGCTGCGGACCACAGACAGGGAGCTCAGATGTGTTCAGTTTGGGGAGTCTGGAACCTTGCCGTTGGGAATACCCTGGATGCAAATGGATGTGTAGTTGTGGAACTCAGCAGAACCCTCTCCCATTGGAAGGGATCTTGGAGCCTTTGCATGAGTTTTCTCCCCAACTTGCTTTGGAAGCGTCTAGAAGTCTGAAACAAAGGACAGATACCGTTGAGTCCCCAGGGTCCCCCTCAGGCAGGAGGTAAGCAATAATTGATGATTGAATTACTTGGAGGAGGACAGAGTATCACATGATTGAAAGCATCTCTCTCTCCATTTAACAATTCCTGCTCTGCCACCCAACTGGAGAGAGGCTTTCCTCTTTCTAAGTTGTAGATTTCTCATTTTCTCATCTGCATGAAGTAGGTATTAGACTAGATTAGTAACTTTTTTTTTTAAATTGAGGGGTTTTTTTCCCCTAGTAACCCCAGTATGTAAAATAGGTAAAAGTTGATATGAACTGGTTTCTCCAGTGCTTCCCCAGAAAAGAACGGCATTTTGAAAAATACCAAACCAAGTAAATTCCCAATTTTCTGCCAGCTCCGTCATTCCAGGGTTTTATGACAAGATCCACTCACAGTTCCCCCCAGTTCTGTGATTCTGTTTATTGAGATTCATTGGTGCAACACATTTCATTGAACCTTTAAAAAGAAAACAATTCATATTTCCATGAATTTGTGAAAAAATACATAAAACTGACCTTCATTAAACACTCACTACATGTCAGGCACTGTGCAAAATAAATTCTATCACATTATCTTTATTTAGTCCTGTCTCCCTGCCCCATAAGGGCAGGGACTTTGTCAAGTCCACCACTATGTTTCCAGAAGCTAGAATAGTTTCAGGACACAGGAAGCATTTCAATAAATACTTCACAAGCGAATGAACTCATGTAAAGTCTGTTCTTATTCCCATTTTACAGATGAGGAAACTGGGACTTAGAGCAGTTAAGTAACTTGCCTGTAGATACACAAGTTAAAGGCAGAACTAAGATTTGAAATGAGCCGCTCTGGACTCCAAAGCCACAGAGGCTATCTCCTGTTGGTGACACTAGTAGGAAACTGGAAAGGGAGCCAGCAGGTACTGAGCACCTCCTATATGATGAATGTAGTCCTAGGAACTTTTTGCTTCCACCATGAATTGCCCTGCAAGTAGACATTGTTATCTCCATTCATAGACAAGGCAAATTAGGTTCTGAGAGGCCAAGCACCATGCCTAGAATTGTTTAGCTCGAATGGGAGACTGATCTGAGATTACAGTCCAGGTCTTTCTGACTCCAAAGCATTCTTGTACAAGACCCATCGTCTTCAACTACGCGCACCACAGTTTGGGCTCTGGAAAGTATTATGCCCCTGGTGGGGTGCAGGTCAACACGGCTGATGAGGCTTGGCAGCCCCCTTCTCCAGCTTTCCTGTAGCTTTACATTCACAAAACCACAGTGCCTTGACCTGCAAAGAGTCCGGCAGGCTGAGAAAGTACGAGTGTAAACTTCCAAGACGTAGCCAAAAGTAAGCACTGATGACTAGGGTGATAAACGTGGGTACCACAGCCCGCTGCTCTCTGTAGCCTCATCGACCTCACATGTCCCAGGCCAGGTCTGAAGTTAGACTGATGATGTCACCAGAGTCTCTGAAAGGCCTCATCACTCATATCCATTTGTCATATATTATTAAGGAGATCTGTAATACATGTAACATCTTCTACTGAATTTCCATTCCTTTCTTTTGATGACCATGGAAAGAAAAATAGAGTGAGGATGACTTTTTCCAGCTTCTCATCCTTATTACCCTTCTTTGAAGAATAACCTATTCTTGAATTATCCCCCAAAATGGCCGTTTAGGCTCTGATTTCATTAATAAGGAGAAAGCCACAGTTTAATAATGATCATTTAACTAATGCATATTCTACAAAGACAAGGAAATGGATTTCCTCTCATCTTTTCTTCTTGAGTCCACACAGGGGATACAGTTATATCCTCTTCTTTTCCCCCCTTTACTCTCCACACAATTTTTTAAAACTTTGGGATTGCATCAATTATGTTAGAAGCGTTCTACCTTATCACCGCCTATAGAGATAATGAAAGTTCTCTTAAGACTCTGACATCGTCCTAGTCTGAGTCTGAATCTAATTAGGACCTGCAATCTCAAGGATGAGGAGGAGTTATCTAGGTGAAGGGTTGTGTCAGGCAGAGGGGACAGAGGCAAGGTGGCTTAGGGCTTGTGAGGAATTGAAAGAGGCCAGGAAGGAGAAAGCCTCACTGCGGCAGCGTGCCGGATTCAAGGGCAAACGCCCAACAGACGCTTAGCTTTCGGAGCTAGCTTTGGGTGTGAGCCGGCTTCATGGGCGTGTGGTCTGTGCAGTCACGCACAGCACGCCCTGTTCAGAAGGGCTCCCTGCCCAGTTTAATGCTCTGTCCTAGCTATCATGACATTGTTCATACTTTTTGAACAAGGGGCTTTGCATTTGCATCTTGCGCTGCGTCCTGCAAACTATGTAGCCTGCCCTGCTTGGGTGTGAAATCCGGCCCTTCCACTGATTAGCCAGGTGGTCTCCAGGAAATCCACTGGCCTTTCTGAGACTCGGTTTCTGCTTCACAGAGGTGTAATCCCTGCTTCACATACGCTGTCATGAGGATTAAATGAGATGATGGGTAACTGGTTGCATGGTGCAGTTATTAGTACCCAGGACGTGCTTAATCTATATTCCCTTCTCCTTAGCCAAGAGGGTATATCAGAGCCACCTGGGGGATATTTTTATTCAAAATACATTTGCCTGTGCCCCACTCTGAATGATCCTGGCTCATAGGTATGGGCTGGGGAAAACAGAGGTTTTGAAAGGGGTCCTGAAGTGATCCTGATGTACCCCCAAACTTAAGAAAGTGATACTGACATCCACCAAGCTTAGCCTTGAGTTTTCAGAGATCTAGCCAAGAAGCAACTTTTTCATAGAGAGCAAAGGGAGGAGAAATTGATGGACTACTACTAATCCTTAACATAATAAAAAACCTGTTAAAGAAGAACAAGGTCATCACCTATAACACTTCAGATGACAGTGATGGCGTTGAAATGCACTATGGGAACTCATCCCATTATCAAGGCTCCTATAAAATGTCTCGCTTGCCATCCATTTGGCCTGAAAAGTACACCCAGAGGAAGAGGGGCTGTGGACAAGAGAAGCCAGGGTCAAGGCTGAGGATAGGGGCCACGGGTGAATTTATTTTCACTTTGGTGACCCTTAAACCATCCCCAACTCCTATAAAGAAATTGTAGCTAGAGGGAGTAATTCTGAATTGTGTTTATCCTGTGCAGATTTTAGGCTTTGACATCCTTCTAATGAAAAATCTGAAGCCGATACTACTTGAAGTTAATGCAAATCCCAGCATGAGAATCGAACATGAGCAAGAAGTAAGTTTTTCTTAAGTATCTCATTGAATATATTTCCATACAACTGGATATTTCCATTCTCATGTTATTCACTTGGCTAAACAAGATTCAGCATCCCTGAATTTGCACAGCAAAGTTCTGTTTGAGTCTAAATAATTCCAGTTTTGTTGAGCTCTGAACATAGTCTATTAATATAAGACCTATCTGACCTATGGTAATTTCCCAGCATGCCATTCTTCCAGTTTTTAAGATCTGCAAATGCAGAAGCAGCTGAGTCTTTCCATCAGTTTTGACATGAACTAATTAGCCTCAGGAGATGAACTAATTGAAATTCTATGAATATGATTTAGCCATGTCGACATGCTTGAATCACTAAGATAAATAGTACATTTAACAGTGGTTATTTTTTTTCCTCTGAAAATAATGCATAAAAAAGACTGGAAGGAAATATATCAAATACTAATAATGGGTTTTAGGGGGATTATGTGGATTTTTAAAATATTCTTAACCCTTTTCTATATTTCCAAGTTTTCTGTAATGAGCATGTATAATTTTAATAAGCAGAAAAACATAATACTATTTTTCCTTGTCACGTACTTTGTGAATTTGTAAAAGGATACTGACATGTTCAAGGTAGTACACAGGGAGCCATTAAAATATACTTGTCTAGTTAACTAAGCAAACGCTAACAGTAGCACCTCTGCATCCCGACAGTCACTTCACTGCACTCTTGAATCTCCCCGCTGTAACATAGAATTCATACCTATTCAAGCTTTCTCCAGGGGTGTTTGAAAACGTCCCCAGCCTCGTCGATGAGGAAGTGAAAGTGGCTGTGATCAGAGACACCCTGCGCCTCATGGACCCCCTTAAGAAGAAAAGGGAGAACCAGTAAGTATTCTTTATATCATCTTATTTCTATCAACTCTGCTTCCCACACCAGTAAGTTAAGTTCTTAGAACATGTTAACTACGTGAGTGAGATTTACATATGAAACAATTGAACGGATCGTATTTTCATTTGTGAACATCGGCCTCCAAATACAGTGACTCAGTTAGGAAATGGACACCTACCCATGGGTCTCTAGCTTGCTGTTATCTGACCTGGGAAGTCTCTCTAAAAACCCACCTTGCGCTAGCGACAGGGTGTCCTCTTGCCCACCATTGTTCACACGGTGCTTCCCTTTGAAATCGTCAAGCAGAGGGAGAGAGTACAGCAAAGCAGAAGAGGACCACAGGTAAGATGGACGTGGTAAGTATGGATCGCTTCCTTTTTACTTTCTTCATGATGTTTACAGTCCTGCAGTACTGTACACATGCAGAGCCAATGTACTGAACTCCTGGTGCTTCTTCCATATTTATAGCAGTTACAATTGCTCTCTGTCCCACCTACCCAGTGGACATCATATTTGGACATTGGCGGGAGTATGCCTCCCCTCTCCGTGGAATCATCCCTGAAATGAATTGCACTTGGGTATTTTGTTTTGTTTTTACCAAACTCCTGGTTCCCACAAAGTAAGGGTTGAGTAAATATCATTGTGCTGGTTTTAGACAGAAAAATCAAAGACAGGCATTTCAAATGGTGCTCCCCATACCCCCGACAAATCGGGTGGACCCGAGGGCTCCCAGACCGGTAAAGCACTTGTCAGCCGAGGTTCAAGGCCGCGAGGAAGGCTGGCTTCCCCAAGCCAGTGGTGTTTGGCAGGGTCTTTGACTGAAGCCCCTCACCCACTGGGTTCGAGCCCAGGTGTTGTTAGAACCACCCTCCAGGTCTCCCTGTCCCCTGGGTGGCTCTCTCAAGCCACCTGGAGAGCCTTCAGAGACCCCAGTGCAAGGACCCCCGGTTCTAGAGATGCGGATTTTAATTAGCCTGGGCGGGAAGCCTGGCCACAGAACATTGTGAGGTTCCCTGGGTGACTGCCTTGTGCAGCCCAGGTTGAGTGCCACTGCCCTGCAGGAAATGTCACTCTGATGGGGTGTTGTACACTGAGTAGGCCAGGACAGTGCCTGCTCGTCTGAGTTCTCCTCCAGAGTGCTCTTCACCGTGTCAGGCACACGTCATCATTGTTGGCAGGGCTCAGCTGAGAACGGCCGCCCCTCATCTGCATGGGCCGAGCCCGCCAGACGTGGCTTGCTTCCGCCCACGAGAGCTGCCACATGACGGTGTGGCAGGAGCAGCTCGAATAGCATGGCAGCAGGACGGTGTCCGTTTGTCCCTGTTCACAGCTGTGGTCTATCTAGTAGCCGAATTCAAGGAAAAGCAGTGGACCAATGCAGATCTGTCAGATTAACTGCAGTACACCTCATTCCTCAGAAGCATTCGACGAGTATCTAATGGTTATTGAGCTCACCAGGAGAGGTTAGCTCTTGAAGCCTGTGTTACTGTGGATGCTGTGGAGAGATTTTGGCGGCTATCCATGCCATCGTGGCATGGTGGTACGGCTTTTTAAAGGTGACCTCAACGCGTTAGCATTCTGATTCCTTTGGTGGGAACAAGTCCAAAGGGCACTGCGTAGCCTGAGCCCTCTTAACCTCGGCCATCAAAAACGTTTTCATGTGAAATGGCGTTGGGAACAAGCTTAGCTTTCTGTTTCCTGTTCTAAGTTGTTTTTCTTTCCCTACCGCTGGCGTTCTATATATACAGCTCACATGAGCTGTAGATCTCACTTTTCATAGCAGTGGGGCACAGAGTCATTAGGGAGGATGGGAACGGCATTTACATCTTAAGTCATAAGTAGCAGCGCCTCGTCTTTAATTTAAAAAGCATTGACTTTTAATTGATAACCAGGAACAGTTAGAACTTCAAGAACCTGGCTTCCATTCTATAATATGAAACCCTTTCCTCTCACCCTTTTCTTACCTACAATATTAAAGGTATATGTTAATAGCAAAATGTCATTACTGCTATTTTCCCTTAATTTCCCCCTTTTTTAAAAAAAAACAAAACAAAACCCAGCAATGATTGTCCATGAAAGCACTCTGTAATTTGTGAAGTGCATTTATATATAAGGGATAATTATTATCATTTTGATAACTTTACCATGCAGAGAAAAAGGCTAAAATTATTCTCAACTTCTCTGTGTAGAAATGTTTTAGGATAACTTGGAAAGTCACCATTTTTATGCCCACAGAAAATGCACAGTGTTGCACTGAATTAAATGCGTCCACATCTGAGACCACATCACTCCAACTGCAGAAAGTGATATCACATGGCCTTCTAGGCTGCAAGTTACCTATAGAAGCCAGAGTTTTTGTGTTGGCATAGCACATGACCTACACCGTCAAGAACAAATGGTAGGCTAGCTTTTCCCTCCAACTCTTTGGCAAAAGAGGACCTGAAGAGCCCATCATTAGTTCCTTGAGTACTTCTTGCCAACGAGGCAGTTAAGGTGTGTCTCCATTTTTATGCACAGACTGAAGAGAAAAGGCAGGTAGAGGCTCCGGACTCCTCACATCTCTTAACCCCTCTGAGAAAATGCAGAGAGGATATTGGAAGGGCTCGGGACGCCTATGTCCGTGCATCATACAGCCTCGCACCCCTCGGGGGCCTGTAGGCCAAGGTCATTTCTGTGGCGGGACTGAAATCAGTCCTCCTGCCTTCTCTAGGGCGAGAACTTGCGACTCCGTTGGTACCCATCTGGGCATAATAGAAAGAGCTTTTTCTTGAGCTAGAGCGACCGAGATTCTAATTCTGACCTTGGCTATGTTGCAGAGCTATTTTGAGCCTCGGTAGCCTTTTCTGTAAAATGGGAATAGTGACGTTTATATGGAACAACGTGCAAAACTTTTAATATATAGTAGACACTTAATAATGCTTTGTTTACTACTCAACAATAAAATTATCTACTAAAACATAAAAAAAAAACCCAAAAATAATGCTTACTTTCTATTATATTTCCTGGTATATTTAAAGTAGAATTTTGAGTTTAAAACTGAAGCTGCCAGGTCACTGTGGACTAGAATTGACGTTGAAGCTGGTTGCCAATGGAAACTTCTGTTTCCAAGTAGCAAGATGTCACGAACCCAGGCATATTTATATGTTGGCCCCAGAAAGAATAGAATAGCTATCATATGAAAACTATTTGGAACGATGATAACATTTTGTAATAGCTAATGGCTCTATTCATTTTCATATCAGAGTTCTTGGGAGGCACTATGGGAACAAGGGAATGGGGAGGCTACTGGGGTGGGACTCCAGAACCACCATGTACACACCTACATGAATGGAGGTGAAACTTACATAATATGAAATTAGCCATTTAAAAGTGTGTAACTCAGCAGCACTAGTACATTCACGGTGCTGTGCAACCATCATCCCATCTAGTTTCAAATGTTTTGTCACCCCCAAAGAAAATTCTGCACACATTAAACAGTCACCTCCACGCCCCCCTATACCAACCTACTTTCTGTCTTTGGATTTACCTACTCTGGACACTTCAGATAAATGGAATCATACAATATTCAGTCTTTTGCGATTGGCTTTTTTCACTTGGCAGAATGTTTTGGGGTTCACCCATGTTGTAGCATGGATCAGTACTGTATTCATTTTACAGCCTAATAATGGTCCATTATATGGATATGCCACGTTATATTATCTGTTTGTCACTGATGGATGTACGGGTGGAAGCCGTCTCTTATTCAACCAGCGTGGAACCGCAATGCTCTATTTTGTGTATTGGCCTCTGCAGTAGATTTCATTTGAGAGGAAAGAAGCTTTTCTGCTGCAAGAAGCTTTTAGAACCCTTGAGAACAGCTCCCTCATTTCATTAATAGAAGCACAGACTGTTCAAGTTGGAAGGGACCTTAGCCGCCTTCCTGCCGGTCAGCCCTCGGGTTCCAGGAGTCTCCCTCCTAAGCATCCCTGGCAGGAGAGCAGCTGTGTCCTGGCCAGGCCCTGGCTGTGGCACCACTCAGGCCTGGGGTGGTGTCTCCAGTCTCTGATTCTTGCTCTGTGAGCTTGGCCAAGTGGCTTTGTTCTCTGGTCTCATCTAGAAAATGGGGATCAAGGTATGTCCTTGGCTGGGCCATCACAGTCATCGGAGGAGATGGCCCATGAGAGGGAGTCTCGTGACGTCTGAGAGCATGAGACAAATGCTGTTTCTTAGGGTCACCAGGTGGCCAGTCAGGCTTTGCGGTTATGCTGTTGGTGCCACCTAAGTCGCCAGCTTGTGAGACAGCCTAATTGACTTGCACATACATAATGGTTCTGAATCACACAAGATGAAACTAGGAAGAAGGTCCGTAACTTGCCCCAAATCACAGAGCTGGTGAGAGTCAGAGCAGACGCTGGACCAGGGGTCTCCTGACTTCTACCCCAGTGTTCTTTCTGCTTTGCCTTGTGGCTCCATTGACTTCAGCTTCTACTTCAAGTCAAAGCTAAGCTTGTAAGGGAAGGGGAAAAAAATCAGGAAAATTTCTCTTTTTTAAAAAAGATACTTGGGCAGCTTGAATCTTCCTTTAAAAAAAAAAAATTTTATCAGAAGCAGACGTAGATAAATTGCCTTCCCTGATCATTTGAAAAACAATGATTTTCCCATCAGTTCATTAATTTTGGGGAGGTCAGTGTACCCCCTGGAGGAGCCATTTGACTCATATTTTGCTCCTTTTCCGGAATGAAGATATTTCTGGTAACCAGATTCCTTTCTCGGGAATCGTAATCGGTTAGGACCCCAGAGAAATAAAAATGAAGCCAGAGACAGGCTTGGAGAACTCAGAGGGAGTTTTCTTGCTATCATGAAGGCACGCAGTGCCTGGGAGCTGGGCCGTAACAGATCACTTGCCTCTTATTCGAAGTGTATTTTTGGAACATGCCTTATATAAGACACTGAAACCCCTTTTCCCACAGTAACATTTCACCCCCCTCTCCCGGTTTCATTTACCTCCTGTTGCCAT